TCCCTCCCTCCTTCCAAGGGGAATAAAACAAGGACCCTGATCATTGGGGGTCATAGGCTGACTCTATAAGCCGCTTAGAGAGGGCTGGAAAAGCAATACTGTGAAAGGGGCATATAAGTCTTTGTGCTATTGCTAAACTAGTCCTACCCAGTTCCTGCAACCAGAATAACAATCCCTGAAGCAACGGGAAACATCACACTAGAATCCTGATGCTGAACCTCATAGGATCCTAGAAGTGGGAGGGACCTCAGAGATCCTCCAGTCCAACCCCCTGCTCACCTCCGGAGGCAAGCAGTTCCACTGGTTAATTGTCCTCCCTGTGAGGAAGTTTCTCCTTAGTTGCAGGTTCTTTTGTCTCCTTGATGAGTTTCCAACCCTTGTTTCCTGTCCTGCCTTCTGGGGCTTTGCAAAACACTCCCCCCTCCTCTCTGGGGCAGCCTTTCAAAGTTGTGCTTCCGCACAAGGGTACCTTTATCCTTCCAAAGAGGGTGTTGGTAACGGTGATCGTGTTACCAGCCCTTAAAGCGCCTTCAGTTTGACTCTGGAGGGCTCTTAAAACCCGGCTAATACGAAAATCCCACCCGCGGATCAGATTAAAAACGGTATAATTCCTCCAAAACGGAATTCAATCGGGTCGTCTGAGAGAAAGCTTTGAGTATTCTCGTTCAGGACTCGGGAGAATGGACCCCGTGATAGGACAGGAAGGGTCTGCTTCAAGGGTTGATGGGTAGTCCTCGACTTACGATGGTGCGTTTACTGACTGGGGTTACGACGGTCTTGGAAAAACTCACCTCGGACCATTTTTTTTTCCCTGCACACTTATGACATTGCAGCTTCCCTACGGTCATGTGATACCAAAATTCAAAGGCTTGGCAACTGGCACGGGGTTACGACGGTTGCTGCGTACCGAGGTCACGTGGGTGGGTGGGCTTCCCAATTTTTTTTTTGCAACCAGTCCTCTGCCCGGTTGCTGGGTGGGCGTGGCCATGGTGGGTGTGGCCTAGTCGGCATCCTACACCATGGCAGTGATGGTGGTGGGGCGATTTCTCCCTCTGTCTCCAGGAGCAGAGGTGGGTATCCAGCCGATTCAGACCGGTTCTGGAGAACCGGTAGCAGAAAATTTGGGTAGTTCGGAGAACCGGCCAATCCCACCTCTGACTGGCCTCCATCCCTTCTCTGCCTCCCATGGAGTCCCAGCTGATCGGCTGGGTCTCCTTTGGTTGCCCTGCACAGGAGAACAGAGCTGGAAAGCAGGTTAGTGGGCTGGGGAGGGAAGGGGGATATTGCAGTAACCTTCCCCCTTTCCTCCCAAGTTGACCCTTGTTCTTTAACTGTTCCCTTCTCCCGGCAGCTCTGCACATGCGCACACTGGGAACAGGCTCCAGCTTTTCTTCTTCCCCACTGATCTCCAACTCCGAAGGCAGCTGATGACAGTTTGACTGGCCCCGCCAACCCCATATCTCTTCTCTCCTTCCCAATGAGTCCCAGCTGATCGGCTGGGTCTCCTTTGGTTGCCCTGCACAGGAGAACCTGGAAAGCAGGTTAGTGGGATGGGAAAGGGGATATTGCAGTAACCTTCCCCTGCCATGCCCACCAAGCCATACTCATCAAGCCACGCCCACAGAACTGGTGGTAAAATTTTTTGAATCCCACCACTGTCCCGGAGGCTCATTTTTCTCCCTCCCGAGACGCCGCACAAACTTACCTGGGATCCAAAATGGGCTGCGTGGAGACTCCTGGGAGGGGAGGGGCAGGGTGGGCGGGGCCAGCCGGCCATTGCAACTACCGGTTTGCTGAACCGGATGTACAATTAACTCCCTGAATTCTGGGAGTTGAGGTCCACACCTGTTCAAAGTGCCAAGGTTGCCAACATTGAAGGTATGTGGACTTCACCTTGAAGGCACCTTGAAGATATGTGGACTTCAC